TTGAATTGCAGTACAAACTCAGGAAAGTTTCCTAAAGATTATCTAATGGCACAAAGAGAGACCTAGTATATGTGAAAACATCTTCATTCGGTGCTCATAATTCAGTGGTAGTTTTACCTAGCAAATACTAAGGTCAATCTATGTTGTCCCTGAATTTTTAAGAAACTGGTCCACTTTCTTCTGTCATTCCAAGTTACTGACAAAAAAATTAAGCTGCTTCGTTTTTATTTAAGTGATTTATTTCCTCTCTATTCTCTGGGTTCTGATAGTTTTCTAAAACGCATCTGAATAAGGCTTTTATTCATCTTTTGGCTCTGGATATGTTTTTCCAATATTTCTGTGGTATTTCCTCCTCAATGTTGTCTTTTCCTCCTAGCAAATCTTCTATCAGATACTAGAATTCCTAAGTTAATCCTTCATGTCTCAACTTCTTTGTAAGAAACTAGACTGCCTTAGCTTTACTTTCCAGATCACTAGCTCAGTCTTCAGTATTTCTCAAGACTTTTGCAATTTAATGTGACTTGTTAATTCTTAAAATTTTTATTTTGTAATTTTTAATCACTCCATTTTTAGGATGTGATATCCTAAGGATATGAATTAGAATTTTTAGTTTACTTCTATTCCCTTACATTCTAGCCTATTCAAGCTGATAATTCTGAAGGCTAGAAGTCCATTATAAAGGGACTGGCAGATTCAGTGTCTAATGAGGACATGATTTCTGGTTCATAGATGGCAATTTCACTGTGTTCCCCCTTGCCACAGCTGCTGTTTGTCCTCCTGGGCAATGACAGAGATCTGGAACCTACCCACACCAGGAATCCTCATTAGCTTATAATTCATTTTCTTTAAAGAGTAGTTTCTGTGTTGGATCCTGGAGTTAAAATCACCATGGCTCTTGCTGCAGCAGAAATGAACCAGGAGAGTCCCTGGGGTAAAGAAACTCAGAGGGCCACCAGGCCCAGGTGGTCTGCATCTAGGTATTTCAGTCCGCATGCACACCCTCTGCCCACTTTATTTCTGTTAACATTGAGCCTGAACTATTTTTACCTCTGCATTTCCTTTTTTTTAAGGGCCTTTTTTGGGTCTATTTTTTTTTCCTGGTACTAGGAATCAAACTCAGGACTTCACACACCTCTTAGGCAGGTGCTACACCATGGCCCTACCTCCACATTTTTTCTCTTAGCACTTATTAGGATGTAGTTTTCCTACTTTGGTTATAGTGGAAATTTGATCCCATCTGCTCCTTAAATTTCAAGTTCTCTTGTATTTTATTTTGTTTTTGTGGGGTTTTTTGTTTGTTCAGAGAGAAGCTCCTTTGTTTGAACCAAGATCTCATGAAGGATTAAGTACTGGTTTGGTTTTTATGCCTCCTTGGGTTTTTTTGATTTTTTTTTGTACCGGGGAATCCAACTCAGGACCTTGCACTTATGAGGCAGGCACAGTGTCACTGAGCTAAATCCCGGCCCCTCCTTGGATTCTTAATTTAGAACACTTACTCCTACCCTTTTTTTCTATGATATTTACTTGCCAAAGGTATCAACACCATGGGTCAAAATTATCTTCTGCTATGGAGTCTGAGGAGGTTTATCTGTTTTCTCAATTCACCATTATAAGGCAATCTTACTCAACTGCCCCACAAGAGGATACAAATGTAAACTTCTTAGTGTACCCTCTTATAGCTTGAAATCAACCTACCTCACCAACCTTATTTCCTTCTCCATCTCTCAAATCCCCTGCATTTAAAGAAGAGAACATAACACTTTCAAATGAGCTTTAAAACTTAGAATTTCTACAATGGAGAGTGTCAGTGCCCTTCTCCTGTGTCTGCTTCAGATTTTCACTTTATAAATAGTCCTCATTTCCAGTAGCATTTCAGGAGCACTTTGCAAGGACAGATTGTGAATTTTCACTCCAGCATTTGATTTAATCTATACCAATATATTGCTTTGTGCAAAGCACTGAAACAATCAAGTGGTCATAATATGAGTGATTGTAGCTTTATTTTATAATTAACCTGGTTAACTGAAGCTCCCTATGAATGCCCAAAAATATCTGAGACAGAGCAACTATATAATTTTATCTTTTACTGAGGCTTTTTGAGAATGAAAGGGGGTGCTATAAATAAATGACATGTACAGTATAAGGCAAGCATCCTGGATTATAAATAATTTGTAAAACTTATTAGAAAGGTTTTTCTTTAAAAACATCCTGGCACTTTGTACATCTGTTTAAACATGCTTGATATTTACTTTTCCCAGAGATATCACTGCATCCCTCCTACTTGGGCAGACACAGTTCTGGGTAAACAGACAAGGTCCCTGGCCTTGTGGGGCTTACAATCTTAGCAGCCTTTTCTGTAGCTAAGCGAGCATGTCTTTCCATCTTTGGAACACACAAGAGCGTAGAGTTTCTGTTCTATCAGAGCTGTCACTGATCTTTTTTCAAAAGCTTGATGCAGTGAGAAGGGAACAAAGGCTTTTTAGGCAAGGATCAAAGTTAGCTTGTTCAACCACTCACTAGTGACATTAAGTCAGATATTTATGTGATCCTGGTCTGGAGGATAAATACACTGCCATACTGTTTTAAGGACAAATTATTTGTATATGCCCTGTGGGTGGTAGTTACTGCTATACTTTCTCAAACGATAGCACACCTGAACACAAAGAACAGAAAATATTAATTCAACCTGACAGGAGAAAGAAGACAGGGGTGGAACTTGAGTGGAAAATGTGTCCGTGCTGGACAAGGAAAACAACATTGAATGGAACTGTTATTTGCATCATTTGAGTCAGAGCTTGGGAAAGAGGGCCTACTGAGAAGCAAAAAGTGAGCTTTGATTAACAGAAATCAGCTGCCTAACTCAAGCCTTTTCACAAGTAAGCCCTGGTGTTCTGATTGCAATATTCCCCTCCAAGGCTCAGAGCCTAATGTCCCCCAGAATCTCACCCTTGTAGAGATGAGTCAAGAAGCCCAAAAGGGAGGAACATGGATACTGGGGAGTGAGGAGAAACCTGAGTGGAGGTGGAAAGATCTGATCTGCTCTTTTACCACAGGCTTCTTCATGGCATGCTCAGAATGTTCATAAGCAGAGAAATTAGAACACTGTTCAAGTCCACTATCCAGTAATTCAGATTAAGTGAACAGCTTTTAATCAACATAAATCTGAATACTTATTCAGTTAAAAATATTGTGTTGTTGGTATAATATATGAACACAGGTGATGAGAAGACATTTACTGATAATAAAAGAAAAAGGAGTAAGTTTCTAATACATTCTGCTTTTGCAAAACTGCTTTTCAGTACATTTAAGATTTTCACCTACAAGCACCAAAATTTGAAGTAATGCTAGACTTCATTTGACAACAAATCTTTTTCTATTTAAATTGCTTACTGCACTTAAAAATAAAGCACTGGGGAATACTAGAAAATTCAAAAGAAATTAGAGTGAAAATAAAAAGCATCTGTAATGCCACCATTCAGAGTATGCCCTATTAACACCCTGATATCTAAGTATGGACAGCTTTTATAATATGACATCATCACTAATGTTCTTTATCCACTCCACTTTATTTCTGTGGTCACAGTAACATGCTGGGCAATCCAGTATCTATAATTTTTAGAACACTGGATTTCCATTTACAATCTGTGGCAGGCTAAAATCCTTAATTAGTAACAGCAGGTGCTGAAGGCTTAAAGCAAATCACTCCTGTATTTTAGTGAGTTGTTATTTATGTCACTCTTATCACCAGGAGCAGGGTTAACAATCAGCAGCAGCTGCATGGACCTATGCTCTTACATAGCAATATTGGGCCTCCAGTTTCCCCAGGAGTCAGAGATTTAAGCAGCTCTATCAGGAGAAACTGAGCAAGCTGCTCTTCTGGTAAGGGCGTACAAAAGGCCCTGCTGGAACTTCACTCTCAAGGGTAGGAAACCACAATTTATGTACTACTAGATAATTAGCTATTTTATTCAGAGTTCTATTTAGTGCAGCTTTGCCTAATTCCACCATAACCTACCACTCTGAGCTTTAATAGGTTCCGCCATCTTGAAAAAATTTAAGAGAACCTGTTAAACAGGTCCACTTCAGAGTGGTAAATAATTGTTTAGAAAATTTGTTCTCAAGAAGTGAGATTAACCAAGGCGGTAATAAACTGCACTCAGCACAAGGGCTCCCTCTCATATCCATCCAAGCAGGTCTGTGAGACTCTCCAGAAGAAAGCAAACATAGGCCTGCCTTGCTTTCTGCTGTGGCCAAGTTTTATCTTTTCTAGTGAGGTAGTGATGCCCCCGCTTTTGTACTGTGAAGTAAATTCAGGGCCTACACTCGTAGCTACATCCCACCCTTAATTTTTTTCATGCTGAGACAGGGTCTGGCTAAACTGCTGAGGCTGGCTGGTCTACAAGGTCACAAGAGCCAAATTTTGGGATTCAAGGAGAGACAGTCAAAGGGGCACTTTCAGCAGACGCCTGTGACTTCCGTGGAGGTGGCAGGAACCTTTCCAGCCTCCAGTCTGGTTTCCACATTTAACCGCTCGAGTGTGTGTGTGCACGCGTGTGTTTAAGCTTGAGCAATGACACCTCGGACACCATGCTAGTTCGCAAAACCAGCAAGCCAACGTGTGCAAAGAGGAAAGCGGGAAATAAGCTTTCCGATACACTAACTCTCCGATATTAACACTAAAAACAATTCAAGGTTTGAGCCCAGCAGTTCGAGTGCCATTAAATTGTGCTCCTAGGTTACACAAGTGGCCTTGGGCTGGAAAAGCTATTTTAGCAGGGTGGGCAAGCGTCAACAGAAAGGGCGCGACTGTCTCCTCACAGGGCCAGGCCTAGGCCTTCCGCCTCCTGCTGAGGAGATGCAGCCCGCACGGGTACCTCGGCCGCTCCCCCAGGCGCCCTGGATGTGGCACCCTGGCTGTCCCCTCGACGAGAGTTGCCTGGACCCAGGCCCGCCGCGTGGCTATAAACGCAGCTGCCTCCCGTTCCTCCTCCTCTTCTTACCTGGCCCGAGATCCCGCCGAGCTCCCGGCTGATAATTGAGGCCGCCATGGCCTGCGGCGCACGTGCAGTGGCGGAGCAGCCTGCCCTCAGGAGGAGCTCGGCAGACGCACCGCGCGCCCCTCCCGCCAGGGCGCCAGTCACAGCTGTGGGCGCGCGCACCCGCCGCCCTTAAAGTGGCCCTGGCGCCGGCCCGCCACTTGGGGGAGCCCCGCTGCAAGGAGCACCCTGCGGGCCTGGGCCAGCGCCCGAGGCTGAGGCTGGTGTGGTGGGAGGTCTTTAGGAGATGGCAACTGACACCCTGCCCAACCCCAGGTTCGCGGAAGATAAGGAGCTGCCAGCCTGGGGCGGGGGGGAGCAGAAGCACACCCTCCTCTGAAGCTGGTCTCAAAAAATTAAGTCATATCCTTTCTTATGGACAGTTTTTAAGTTTAAATGTTAGGAATCAGCAAACAGGACTTTTCTTTCTATAGACAAACATTATATATATTCAGAGTCCGCCAAAAAATGTATACACACTTTAGGTAAAAAAAAATAGTATGATTTTTTTCAACAAGATGGCGTTACCCTCCTAACCCCTCCTATGGTGGACTCTAGAGGACGTTGTATATGGCAGAAAACCCACTACACTGCCTGCCTTCAGACAAGAAATTGAAAATACATGTGCAGCAATCTCAATGACCAGGGTTACCAAACAGAAGTTTGCTGTGCTAATAAATTTTTGGAAGCTAATGGCCACTACTAAGATCACCTTTTGTAATTGTAGAGGCCAAAGGTAACTTGTTTTAATCTCATGATGTCTGAATAAATTTAGTATTAAACTATACCAGTTTTTATTTTCCTGAAGTATGTAAACATTTTCTGGCGGAATATATATATATATATATATATATATATACATACACACACACACACACATTAGAGATTGGTAGTACACTCATAGTGTTTTCTTTCCAAACCACTCAGAAATTAAAAATTTTAGATGCACATTTGGTTCTGTGATTTAACAAATACTTTTCCCATTTTCTCAAATGAAACAGTGCAGTGATAAGAAATCTTCTGTTAGCTGCTGCTCTGACTAGTACATTCAGAATTCACTAAACATTTTATTGAGATCTTTCTTAGTTACTTTTCTTGTTACTGAGACAAAATACCCAATACTGACAAGTTAAGAGAAGAAAGGTTTATTTAACTCACAGTTTGTAGAGGTTTGTAGAGGTTTCAGTCCTGGCTCCAAGTCAGGGTGTCCTGTCAGACAAGCATCACAGAGGAGAAACAGTTTATGGCGGGCAGAAGGTAGCAAAGCAACAAGAGTCAACTACAGCTTTCTATCCCTTATATCTTATCCGGGCTACCTAGAGCGAGTAGCACTCACACCCTTAATCCTAGCATTGCACCATGAATCAATCCCAGGGTCACACACTGTAGATCCAGCCGCCTCTGAAAAAGACCCACCTATGACTGCATGAGGCTTTGGGAGGACATCTGGACACAAGCCATAACAAGATCTATCAGGTATCAGGACCTGTAGAGGATTCGTCCTGCTTTTACAGTAGACCCTTGACTTACAAACTCAATTCATTTGTGAGGGCTAGTTGTAACCCAAGTTGGTTGTAAGTCAAGACTTTTTCCAATAAGAAATAATGGAAATACCCATAATGAGAAATAATGGAAATACCCAAACTTCCCAAAGCACCCCTTAACTAACCTTTTTATAATAAAAAAGGGTGATATAATGTATGTGATTTACCAGAAGCACCAATAATATTATAGTGTATTCAAAAAGTTATAAAATGTACCTAGCTTACCAGATCAAAAAATTTCATACTGTACTCATCATTCACATTGACATCTTGGGGTTGCAGGAAGGAAAGATGAAATGGAAGGTGGTTATTATTGTGTGGAAGGAGAGTCCCCTTCCATAAGAACATCAGAAATCTTGATCTCTAATGTCCTTTCTTTCAAGGGAGACTCTGAAGCCCACTAGAACTTGCTTCTGGCTTACTAGGTCTCAACATTTTCAGAACTAAAAACTGGTCTAAGGTTTATTTCTGACTTTTTTTAACACTGTTCTGTAGTATGACATTGTCCTTAAGCAAGTGAATTAAAAAATTGGCTTTTTCTACGTCTAAGTGGGTCTTCTCTACAAACGTTTGTAGTTCTGTCCATTTTTTTAGGATTTCCATTATTTCAGAAGAACTTTGCTTCACTGATTATTGGTACTCCCCCTCCTCATCAGAAAGCTCCTCAGCTGCCATTCTCTTGCTCAGCCAGAAGTTGCTAAAGTTCTGTAGACAGTTCCTCTGAGTGTTCCTCCACCAGTTCCTCAGCATCACCAATATCTATCTACCTGGGAGCCTATGAACTCTGCTATAGTGATAATGTCATCAACCTTCAACCTTCAATTGAAGGCTCAGGCTCCTGTACACAGCCTTCAAAGTCTCTCTCCGGTATAATTTTAGGCCACACTTTCTTCCAGGCAGATCTCAGTGTCTTCAGAGAGACATTGGCACAGGATTTCTCAATTAACTCCACACAGGAAAGACCAGAATTTGAGTCATAAACCAAGACTTTGGTCAAAAGTTAAAACTAAAATTCCAGTCATGACCCAAGTTGTTCATATGTCAGGCCAGTTATAATGCAAGTCCACTGTACAAGTATGTCATGAGCTTCCCAATAGTAGAAGTATGATGATGGTTACTTAGTTTTTTGTAGACCCTTGATCTCACTTGACCATATAATACAGAAGTACTCTACATGAACCAACCCTTCAGGCAGTTTATCTCTGAGCAAGCCTCCTGGTTTCTGAGCAGCTACTACGTTCTGGGGGCCTGATTTACATCATAAGAGCATGCAGAAATATTGCTGTGGTTTTCTATTTTGGTGGAAATAAATGGTGTAGATACTTTTCTGAAAGGATCATTCTGTATTACTTTTGGAAGTACAGTTGGCCCTCCATATTCATAGGTTCTACAACTGTGGACTGGACCAACTATGGATCAAAAATATTTGAAAAAAGAAAAACTGCATCTGTATTAAACATGAACAGATTCTTTCCCTAATCATTATTCCCTAAACAGTACACTATAGCAACTATTTACATAGCATTTCCATTGTAGTAGGTATGACTGGATAAGTACGCTTATCTAAGTACTTAAGACCTGAAGAGTTACAGACATTTTAAGATTTGAGAATATCTGTATATAGATAGATAGATATAGATATCTTGGGGGTAGAACCCAAGTCTAAACAAGAAATACATTTATTTTTCATGAATACCATATATATATATACACATACACCATATATATCATGAATACAATATATATACATTTATATGTAGGTATACATATATACACAAATGTATATGTATATATACACATTTATTTTTCATGAATACCATATATATATACCATATATATCATGAATACCATATATATTTATACTGAAGGTAGTTTTATAGAAAATTTTAATAATTTTGTGATTCCTCATATGAGATCAGGTGTAGAGTTTTCCACTGATGGCATCATGTCACCACTCAAAAAGTTTCAAATTTTGGATTTTCAGGTTAGGTATGCTCTATCTGAACACATAATCTAGAGATAATGCACCAGTATGTGAATAATTTATGTAAATACTATGCCATGATTATAAGGAACAAGTTTCTGCAGATTTGGGTGTCTGCAGAGGTCCTGGAAACAGTGTCTTACTTATAAAAAGTGACCACTGTAAACATATACATTTAGTGAATGTTGCTTCTTTACTTCTTTTCAAGCTAATCAGAAACAGAGAACATCTAGATAAATGTGTAGTTGGTTTGCCTAACAATACAGGACAAAGGTAAAGCCATGCTCAAATATTGGGGTGGGGTGTGAGCTGAGGCAATTTGGAGCATCCCCTTTCAATAGTATCCATGCTTTCATTGCCCCAGAGGTGGAGATAGCAAGTCTGATGCTAATTGTGACAAAGACATTGTTGAAACTAACAAAGACATGTTGCTTTTGAGTTTGGATTTTAAAATGGCCCTAAGATCATGTGAAAGGAAGTCATCACTCATGTGTTGGAGGAAGAAAAAATAATATATTTTTTCTGTATCCAGAATACAAGAGTTCAAACTTCATAAGAATAAACAGATTTTTTGTTTTTAATCTTCAAAGAGAGAAAAGAAAGGAAAGAAAGAAAAATCTTGCCTAGAGATGAACAGACATTTATTATAAAACAGTGCTCTCCCTAAAGGGGATTTCACTCCTCATGGGATGACTGGCAATGTCTAGAGAAAATTTCATCATTACAGTTGTGATTCCCAAGGATATTAACATGCTACTTATACTTTTGTTGAAAAAATGAATATAGCGCTATGATTTATGAAATACTATAAGAATAATT